CTGATATAATGTTAATATACCAACCTATTGAAGTACTGAAATCTGTTTTGTACCTTTGTAATACACTGATAACCACCAAATGCAGGTGGTGATGAGAAAGTCACATGATGAACCAAAGCCCATCACAAGCAGCTTTTAAATAATAACATATATAGAAGGTGCACAGTGTCATTCACACAAACACTAAACACCATCATGGTAACACACATGAAACTGAAATAATGCAATAAACACTCATTTAACAACATTAGGTGTAACACGCAACCCTAATATACAAAACTGATAAGAAAAAACTAAGAAGAAAGTTATTTCAACAAATAAACATCAAATTTGAAATGTAACGCAGGGAATTCTGGGAATGTCAATTTACGGTTATTCACTGTAAATTATACGGTCTTTTTCACTTCCAAAAACAGTATACTACCGTAAAATTTATGTCCAATACATGTAATGTCCAATACAGTTTTTCACCGTATATAGTAGGGGAATTTACCGTTAACCATTTAACAGGTTTTTACAGCCTTTTACCGTTAAATTCACGGTCATTTTTTACAGTGTACTACAGCTATTGTTACTATTGTAAAGCCACAAAAAGGACAAGTTTTACGGACAAGTACAATGGCAATCATGGTGCATGAATATGGTAATCATTCAGTATCATGGTATATACAAAACTAGACTAACAACACTTTTAAACAAATAAATTAAAAACACATCTATAATATGGATAACATAATATCTATAATATAATATTGAAAACATTTAGATTTCTTTTAACCAGTGTAAAAAGCTATTAAAATATTTGTCATTTTGTTTAGTTTTCTGATGTCAGTGGTGGCTATTGCCAAGTTACAAGTTATATTGTACTAACTGTATCAACTATGGTATCTTGGCTGTGACATGTATCAATGACAATAAATGTGATATTGAATTAATACTGTAATATTGAACATTCTATTTGTACTTTTTTTTTGGGGGGGGGGGATTTTTCAGAACCTATTTCGGTCACTTCTATCAGATATATGCAATGCCTTGCGAAAATATTCATACCCCTTCATTTTTTTCACATTTTGTTAAGTTGCTGCCTTATGCTAAACTGCTTTAAGTTACTTTTTCCCCACATCAAACTACACTCAATACACCATAATGGTAAAGCAAAAACACAGGTTTTTAACATCTTTGCAAATATATTAAAAATAAAAAACGTAAATGATTCCATTGCATAAGTTATCTGGGACAGTTGAAATTTAGCTCAGGAGCATTCGTATTGCTTGTAGATGTTACTACACTTCGAGTGAAGTTAACCTGTGGCAAATTCATTTGGATGGGTATGATTTGGAAAGGCACACACGTCTTAATAAAAGGTCTAACAGCTGATACTGCATATCAGAGCAAAAACCAAGCACTGAGGTCAAAAGAACTGCCTGTAGATCTCAGAAACAGGTTTGCATCAAGCCACACATCTGTGGAAGAGTTCAGAAAAAAATTCTGCTGCATTGAAGGTTGACAGAAGCATGTAGTCTCTGTTACCCTTAATGGAAGAAGTTTGAAACAACCAGGACTCTTCCTAGAGCTGACCTCCTGGCCAAACTGAGCAATTGACGGAGAAGGGTCTTGGTTACAGTGGTGACCAAGAACCTGATGGTCACTCTAGTTGAGCTCCATGATCATATATGCAGATGGGAGAAACCTACAGAAGGACAAACATCACTGCAACACTCCACCGATCTGGTGTTTATGTCGGTGTGGCCAAACTCAATCTTCTCCTCAGTGAAGACGCATGAAAACACACTTGGAATTTGCAACAAAGCACCTAAAGAACTCTCAGACTCTGAGAAACAAGAGTCTCTGGTCTGATGAATCTCAATTCCAAGCATCATGTTTGAAGGAAACCAGGACCTGCTCATCACCTGAAGAGTACCACCCCAAATGTAAAGTGTGCTGGTAGCAGCCTCATGCTCTGGGGCTGTTTTTCAGCAGCAGGGACCGAGGGACTCGTCAGAGTAGAAGATAAGCTCAATGCACCAAAAATATAGAGATAGCCTTAATGAAAACCCAGTCCAGAGCATTCAGAACCTCAGACTGGGCAGAAGGTTCACCTTCCAACAGGACCCTAAGCACACAGCGAGAGTGGCTTATAGACAACTCTGTGAATGTCCTTGAGTGTCCCAGCCACAGCCTGAGCTTGAACCCAATCAAATATTTCTGGAGAAACTTGAAAATGTGCATTTTCTCCCATCCAACCCGACAGAGCTTGAGAGGTGAAGAGGCCAGGAGAAGAAATTATGATGATCAAAGCTTGTCGCATCAAACAAAAAAGACTTGAGGCTGTAAAGGTGCTTCAGCGCAATATTTAGTTAAGGGTATGAATACTTACGCAATGTACTTATTTCAGTTTTTTTTATTTTTTTATAAATTTACGAAGTTGTGACAATTCTGTTTTTGCTTTGTCAGTACGGTGTATGGAGCGTAGATTGATGTGGGGAAAAAAGTCATTTCAAGCAGTTTAACATAAGGCAGCAACATAATAAAATGTGAAAAAATGAATGGGGTGTGAATACTTTCGCAAGGCACTGTATGTGCCACTCTTAATAAATACATACCTGCAAAATAAAGAGTCTCGTGCTTCCTCCAAACTTCAGAACATGTCCCACTCGTAGCCTTATGTAAGTTTTAGGTGGTATTTTGTTCTTATTCACAAAAGTCCCATGAGTGCTGCCCAGATCATAGGCATAGAAGCCCTTCTCCTCTCCTACGACCCCGTCCTGCCCAGCTCTGCCCCGGTACTGCACCACGGCGTGATAGCGGGAGATGGACGGATGCTCCAGAGACACATCACACACCGGCAACCGACCCACCACAAAGTAACTTCTCTGGGTCAGCGGGACCGTATCTAGGATCGCCCCGTTTTTCAGCAGCTCAAACGAGTAGCTGATGTTAGGAACAGATCCCCACGGGGGCTCGGTGTACGGGAGCGGAGGAAAATGACCCGCCGGGGGTAACGTTAGTTTGGCAGGGATCTTAGGCCGGATGTCTTTTGGTTTGGGCTGGACCTTCTGTGCCTCTGGATGATCGCACGGGTCTGTTAGAGTGTCTGTGGGTTTTGCAGATAGTTGCCGGTGTTTAGTAACACGATCCGTGTCTTTATTCTCTGATATGCTGCTGCTTATTTCCTCCGTGAGTTTCTTGGTTGAGTGCAATCCTCCTGATTTCTTCACAGTGAGAGATGGAGCAACACAAATATCCGGTTTCTTAAAAGGAGCATCTGCGTTTTCATTAGTGCTGGGGATGTCCTGTTTAGTATCACCGGTTTGACCGTTCTCAGGGTCCGAGCTCGTCTCTGTTTCCATTTCAGTGTGATTATTTTCTAGATGTCCGCTGCATTCAGACTCCATCATGTGTTGTTCAACTACACGATATGGTGTACCACTTTAATGATTCCGATCTTGTAGTCTAGAATTTGTGATATAGATGGATCTTATTTAGTTTATTACCTTAAATGTATCCAAACATTTTTCAAATTAGGGATGTATAGTAATTATTTGCAGTGTATAGTTTTGACATTTTAAAGTTCGTATCTCTTATCTCCATTGTCTAGGAACTATTTACATTTTCCACGGAAACATTTTAGTGTTGTACCTCACAGTCGGTCGCCGTTCATACGTCGTTTTGTCGAAATTATACATATTGCTTTATTTATTTATTTAGTATTATTCGCCTTTATGATCATCTGCTCATAAAAGGTAAACTAAGCGATTTGTTATGATGATTATCATGGTGATTATGGTTTATACGTGCCACATTACACACTGGACATTACAAGGCATCTAATGTGTAACGTTAGTGTGAATGTAAACGTTCAGAATTAAGTCTTTAAATACACGAAAGCATGAACGTTTGTAAAAAGAAAATAAACGTTGTATGTGCATTTTGTTGTATATTATAGTATATCAGTCATTTTCTACATGTCAAAGTCTTTCAAAATTAAAGGAAATGATAATTTGCATAAAGAAAATTAATCATATTTTAGTGCAATTAGGCTTATATATTTTTTTTTTGTACTTTTGAGTTTGTTTGTAATTGTTATTCTCATTGATTTCATTAGAATTGTCAGTCATTTTTGTAATATATTTTTTGTTATGTAGACGTGTGTGGGGGATAGTTTGAAATATCAAAGTGCACAAATATATAAAATCTAAGTTTAAAAAAATGTATATTTTGATATTTGAGGTAACCATTCATAACCACTACGTGTGCATCAGGTGATTATTAGTGATATGGTTTTTCAAAGAAATATCAACCTGAACAGCGTTTTCTGTGGTTCTCAGATTGCACTATTATCAAAGAAGTACTGAGTGACAGCACTGTGTGAAGAGGATGCGTTATTGGGGCGAGCTCCCGGTGGCTTCGGCTCCCTCAGGCCGCAGCTCTTTTGACCTCCTGCAGCGCGAGTTCCGCCAGGTGGAGATGCAAGACCCTCCCCTGCACCAACCTTCTGCACAGCGTCCACGTCCCACCACCATGCTGGATATCCCCTCTGAGCCCTGCAGCCTCACGATCCACACTGTGCAGCTGAGCCAGCATGCTCGTCGTCTCCGGGGTCTCATTGCTGCTGCCCAGCAAGGCCAGCAACCCCTGTCCACATTAGTAGATGCCCAGGGTGTCTTGAAACCCGAGGACGGGGATGCTCTACCTCCCCGGCCTGCCACACCAACTGTACCTGATGATCTGCTTCCACTGGATAGTAAAGCTCCTCGACAGCCATTCCAATTACGCCATAGTGACCCAGAGAGCGACTTCTACAAGTATGTCAGTAGATCATCATGTGTATCGGTCACTGTTTGTCCTATCTATTAATTTATTCAAAAAAGATATGAAAATTCCAATCATACATACAGTGACCTGAAAAGACCTCTTCTAGGATGAGAACGTTTTTAATTTCTGAATTAAAATTGATTTTGATATTTTATGGGAGCATAAATAAATAATAAAAAAAGTACAGATGTCTTGATATCATAATGAAGACAAAAAATAGTCATGTAAAAAAAAACATTCTTGAAAAAATAAAATTATTAAATAGTTTAAAGCGAGATTTTATTCGTAGGGGAGAAAAAAAAAAGTGTCCAGGTCAGTAAGTAAATATAATTTAATTTGACCTCTCTGTGATGAAGCAAGCAAGGTTATTTCAGGTTGTAAAATGTTATGTGATGTATGTAACTACCCAAAACTTTCTTTCTTTCTTTCTTTCTTTCTCACACCCTTATACATAGGGGTGTGCGATATTGACAAAAAATAATATATCTCGATATTTTCTGGGATTTTATCGATAACGATAATTAGACGATATTTTGCTGAGTGTGTTATTGTGCTGGTACCTTAAGGACTGCAGAAGACAGCAGACTCCTAATGTTTTTAATATTTTTCATATTCTGTGTGGTGGTCAGTTCATACTGAGAGAAATTAATCTTTTCCAATAAGTTTAAACTGATTTTTACATTTTACGGGCATTTTTACCTTTATAAAGCCATTTTTTTCTAAAAGTGTCCATTATATTTTGAGTCAAATTCTTACATTTAATCAGGGAATTAGAATAATAAGACATTTGGGCTGTTACCAAGTAAATGAAATCAACACAGAAGCTGCATCTGAAGTGGCATTTAGATGTATTTACACACATGTATTTTGTTTAATGCAAGACATGAATGCATTTAACCAGTAATTACAAATGCATAAATAATGTTTTGATATATTAAACATAAAAACGTTGAATACTGATATTTGAGATGATTTAAAACATGAAAAAAATCACAAAAAAAGTAATTGCGATTGAACCGAATCATTTAAACGGTTGATTCATTCAGGAACGAAACACCGTCATGTTGCTCAGAGACACAAAACAGCGCTGTGGCTGTATTCGGAATGATTTTTGTTGGCGAAATAGAGCAAAAACAAGCAATATGGTGTCTAAAACG